GCCTGTATTTTCTTTTTCCACACGATCTTTCACTTTCAGTTAGTTTTTTTACTTTGCACCCGCTTTTTTAGTTTACATCCGCTTTTTTTATTATTCGTCCGTATTTTTTTTATCCTCTTGTTATAGGTACATTCATTACACCTGCCCCTGCCCACTTCTTTTACACCCGATTTTTTCTGTACTTTGCGCGAGCTTTCTTATTTTCTATCTTTTTTTCTACTCTATATTAGTTGTTTTTATTTTATGCTCGCTTTTTCCCGCTTTTTTAGTTTCAACTGTTCTTTTGGTTTAAGCCCATTTTTTTTTACTTTTCACTTGTATTTTTTTGCATGTTTATTTTTTACATTACGTCTGCCATTTTTAAATCTGCTTCTTTCTTTTATTACACAGCCACTTGCATATTACGCTCGCTTTTTACTTTACTCCAGTTTTTACCCAACTTTTTTTCTGTAGGCCTATATTTTTCTCTACGCCTACTTTTCTTTCTTACCACTGCTTATTTTTGCTACACGCCTGCTTACTTTTACTATATGCCACATTTCACATTACATTATACCCGCTTCTTTACTTTCCACCCGCTTATTGCCCGCTTTTTTCTTTGTGCCTGCATTTATTAACATGTATGCCATTTTTTTGTCCCGCTTGTTTTTTTATTACGTATTTTTTTATATTTTACACCTGCTTATTTACTTTCCGTCCGTTTTTCTTACTTTCTATCCGCTTTTTTCCTTGCGCTTGCAACTACTTTACGTCCGTTTTTCTTATTTTACGCTCGCTTTCCATCTTTGCGTCCGCTTTTTCTCTTTACGCCTGCTTTTTCTATTCCTTCAAAAATCTTCTCTTTGTTTCGAACTCGCCTTGTTTCTCTCAGAGCGAAAGAGGTAGTGAACCAAGCAACCATCTTACAGGTATACGTGAAAATTAACAGTGGTTCTTTTTGTGACTAAAATGTGTCGCTGTCTCCCGGACTATAAGAAGGCTATAAGTCTCAAAAGTCTCTCTCTGCAGAATAGTTTTCTTTATGTCATGTCATTCCAAAATGGTTAAGTTTCTGCATTGCCATTTGAATTACATTGTCTGCTTTACTTATTTAAAAACTTGGTATTCTTTGACAAGTATATATGGTTCTCGTTCATATGAACATAATTATGAAATACTATAGTGGATATGTAGTCAATTTATTGGAGTATGGTCAAACTGGTATATCCAAAGCTGACAACTTGGGACAAATTCTTTTTCAACAGGACCGTATTAAAAGAAATTATTAAGTTTATAAATTATAATAAATTACCTAATCAATTAAAATTAACTAATTTTGAATGTTGTCTTCCTAATTTAAGTTATACCTATGGAATATGTATAAGTTTATTTTGAATATGACGTTCAGTGTTTTAGTAATCGCCAATAGAAGCCAACTATATAAATATGTATATAGGATGTTTGCAAACTTGGCAGAAATAGTTTTTATAATAGATTTATATTATTTGTAATAGATAAGCTTTTCTAATTGATTTTTTAGTATCAACTGACCACAATAATACGAAGAAACATTTTAAAACTCCAGCGATAGCTCAGCTGGCTCCGTTTACAATTTACAAATGTTTACACAATTTGATGTAGGTAAATGAGGAATTCACAAAAATAAATACACAAAGGAAGTAGAAATATAGAAAAATTAATGGCATCACTTAAACATTTGTTCAATAATAATTTTATTTAAAATTTGAAAAATAAAAGACACATTTCTATAATGAAAACAAAAGTGACAAGCATTATACAGGCTGTTACAAATTCGCTTCTCACTACAGGGATCTTGGAAACGGTACGAAATACGAAGTACCTAGCTTAAATGGGGACAAAGTTGCATAATCAGGGAACCAACATAATACATCTACAAAATCAAGGCTAACATGATTAGTTTTCGAAGTATTTGAAAAAAAAACGAAATTTTGGAAATCCGTTTTTGTTTCATTTCAGCTTTGTTTGAGGTGATATTGAAAGAAGAAGAACACTTTCTCATGGCAACTTTTTGCCCTCTATCGAATGGCATAATCAATTTTTATATGTAACGTTTCGTCTCTCCACGACCATCGTCAACTTAATTTTTTTAAATACGACCCCGGAAACTTTATTACATTTTTTGCAAGCCTTCATCACCCCAATACTGCACTGCCTCAGCCCGAACCAGATTCAGACGTTTTGTCTCGAAAAATTCATCTTCAATACGTTCGGATTCAAAATGGAATATTTACAGTACTCACTTTTTCACACCGTACAATACAGAAATTTTCTCAATTGTTTTAATACAGCATTGTATCAGTTGTTTTTAAAAGGACTAATTTCACCTGACATAAACGACTGTCCTACATAATTATATTTCAAACAATACTTATTACGTACCTATTACTAAAGGTAAAAATGGCCGGAAATCTAACAGCCTATGTTACTAACAGGACAACCACATAATATATTTTCTTCGATACCTCAATCTCCCCGTGAGATGAAATCTTTTTTTTTTTTTGTTTCTCGATTTGAAACATGGACATTTATTTGGAATACTTCAATATAAAAATCAACCATTTTTTTTGCTTGTAAGTATTTACACACCACAATATGACACATTAAAATTATTTTTTTTTGTACATTTCTCTTTTATATCTATGATCATTGTGTAAGACACAATCCGAATAATAACTAACACAAAATAGTTACTGCTATCTCTAGAAAACAGTCAAAACCTAATTATTATACAGTTATATAATTAATGCATAGCCATAAGTTAAATTAAAAGAACAGCTATTTGTATACAGGGTGTTTCAGTTTGGGTGAATGAAACTTTAACCACAAAAAGAACTCAATAAATAATTCGGAATTGCTTTGTATGTAAACAAAGGGTATGTCTCTAAATACAGCAGGATTTTTTTACATTCTACGGCACTGACCTAATAATACTTTAGGATTCATTTTTAGATTCCGTGGACAATTCTACATAAAAAGGTATATTTGTTGAAAATCGGTATAGTGTATCATTTTACCGAAAATCTCAGTTGGGGGACCCTTCTTCTGATAAGAAAGACTTGAATATTCATCAATTTTTTTACACACTAATATTTGAAATCTTAAAAAATAAAATGATAGTTCCTGACGACAGATAAGTCTCAGTTGTTTTTCATGGCAATCATTGTGTACGGATACTGTAACAGATTTAAAATTAATATGTAGGTGTAATTTTTTAAAGAAACCACATTACGAGTGCGGTAACTAATACACAAGGGATTATATTGAGAATTTACCAGTTGTTTTACCGATGTAAAGACATTATTTAATATTATAATTAATAATATTAATTTAAAATTTTATTTCTTCTTCTTTAAGAAACTAAATTTCTTATCAGACCAACGGCCTCCCATTCAACTGAGATTTTCAGTAAAACTATACGCTATATCCATTTTCAACAAGTATACCTTTTTTATGTAGAATTGTCCACGGAATCTAAAAATAAATCCCAAATGTTTATTAGATCATCGGCGTTGGGGTAAAAAAATCCCGCTTCACTACCCATTCCTACGCCACTGACCTACAAAAATTTACAGTAAATTTTACATTAAATTATGCACGTGTAAATGTTAACACCACACCAAATTTGAATCAATTTGTTATGAGCATACAAAAGATTTCATAAATAATATGATTTTAAAAACCGACCAATACGGCCCTGTACAGTGAAACCGGTGATACTTAGACTTTTGTTTTATAAGGCAATTCTGAATTATTTATTGAGTTCTATTTGAGGTTAAAGTTTGATTCATCCGAACTGAAACACTCTACTATAGGCCAGGAAAAAGGACTGGGAAATGACCATTTCCCGAGTTTTTGTTTCGGCAAACTGAATATATATATACTATACACTATAGATGCTAAATATTATGCACAATAACATACTAGTTTCCACAGTTATAAAAATGGGGGGAAAAATGGTTAAAAAAGCCCCGGCCGCCGAAAATTCAATTTTCAAACAAAGCCAAAAAAAAAAAAAAAAACACAGGGCAAAAATGAAAAAAAAAAAAAAAATGATAGATTTCAATGTATTATTATGAAATCTACCAAGAAAAAAATCAGTGCGATTGTGGAAGATGTTCGGGATCGTCCAGACTAATAATTAGTTAATTTGTTTATAAGGACATAACTTGTAAACTATTCAACGTACCGATTCCAGATTTTGTGTGAGTTATTAGACAGTGATAAGGAATGAGAGGATGCGATGCCAAAACGTTCCGGTAATAATAACGTAGTTTATAAATGTTTAATTCAAAAGTCATAAATAAACTTCTTCTGTTTATAACTTTTGATATAATTAATATTTTTTGGAGCTCGAGGACTAGTTTTGTAGGTCTTTTGAAGACGAAAAAAAGTATTTTACTGTTTTCTTGTAGAAACGAACGGAAAAAAGTTATAAGCGAAAAACGTGAATTTACGTAAAAATTATACAATTAATCACCCTGTAAAAAATCTTCCCCACATTTTTATGACTGTGGAAACTAATATGTTATTGTACATAATATTTAGCATCTATAGTGATAAATTCAGATTGCCGAAACAAAAAGTCGCGCCCAACTCTATATTTCCTTGATTATTGCAATAGTAACAAACACAACTAAAATATGCATATGTGGCATGATATTTACTGTTTTAACATGTATAGCTGGCTTAACGCAATATGTAGACCTAGCAATAAAGACCATACTTAGTTTAAATTATCTCGTCACCACTATGCGCATGAAATACTAAAGACGTATTTTTATCCCCATTTTTCGAGCGAGTACACTTTGTTTCTTTAACGTGTCCTTCAAAAGCTCTTCTAATTATGTTTTAGTCAGTCAAGGTGTAGTAGAATAAAAAAAAATTAAAGTTGGTATCACATTTTTCAAGTTATAATCCATTCAATAGCAATACACTTTTTTCAAGAAATAAAAATAGTGGTTATAAAAATAAAACGCAGCTTTTAAATCTTATTTTATTTTAAGGCCAAACTATATTTTCAATCCATTCTAAATACTTCGACACTCTGGTATACACGCCTGGAATTTTTCCCCCACAACCTGCTCCATAAGAAATGATCCCTACAACTGAAAAAGTCCCATCTATGTTTTGAATTTGAAGTGGTCCTCCAGAATCCCCCTAAAAATATTTAAAATACAATTATATTTAAGAAGAATTTGACAAAATACCTATTTAATATTCGGGACATAAAATAATTTTTCGTAATTTCGTTTTTAAAATTTTTAGTAATCTTTAATATTAACTTAGTTTCATGTTTTTCTTAAATAAAATGGTAACGATCAATCTTTCCGTCAATACAGATCATTTACTCCCTTTAGAGCTTCACAATTTTGATGATCTGTAAAACATTAACGGAGTTCCATAACCTCGTTCTGCTGTAAATGTTTAACTCACTTTTTCCAGTTTGAATGTTCTAGTCAATAAAAGCCTTAAGTATAGGCTCTTTAAAGTTTCCGAATTTTAAGTGAAATGTAACAAAAGCCGGGACGCGTAGTCATTTATTTATTAGTTCTCGGAACGGATGGGCCAACTAAAATATTTTCGTCAACAAAAATTATCGAAAGTTGAGGGCTTTCAAGTAGGTCGCGTCGTCCTTCGGAGAAATTAACCAATATTTTTAACAAGTTCGCTTGGAGTCGGGGCCATGTCACAGTCATCCATTGCGTCTGGGAGGCGCCAGCGTAGAAACCCATACTTTAATAACGCGCGAAATCACGAGAAGAGCGTAGAAGTTCCAAAGTAGAATTAATTCAAATTGTAAATTGATAGTAATTGGAAAATAAACTAACAGATCAATAGCTGGTTTTTCCACAGATTTTCCAAGCTATTAAGAAGATATTAAATGAGATTGACTAATCCGCCCCGTAATTGCTAAACGGAGTCACTAGAGGAAGGCTAGGGTTACTTGTAAGTAAGTTTAGTTTCAGAATTCTTATATAAATGTAAGTCAAGTCATTTAGGTGATTATTAACCTAGTATAGTTATATCAAGCATCCCGATATTCAGGCCCCCGCCAATAAGATAAGAACAGAAACTTCTGGACACAAGAAATGGGCGTGTCGAAGCGAGGTGGAATTCAGGAAAGATCTCGAAAAAGTCAGTTCTTCCTTGAGTTTCACATTGAGCAGTCTAATTAACTTTAAGAGTCTCGGGCTAATTAATTAAATTTAATAATGGATAAGGTTTTTCCAAATTTTGCTAGGAAGCGCGCTTTCCCTGAATCTCGGTACGCTGTCGCGTGTCAATAAATTAACTAATAATATTGTTCGAGCCGTTGTGTTGCTATTTTGTTTGTTTGTTTTGTTTATTGTTATTAAAACCCTTCCTGGAAGTTTTGGTGTTTCATTTGTTTCTTCCAACTTCAGTGTCACCCTGTATAGCCAGCCACTGGATTACATTCTACGTAAGCAATAAAGGGTAAGTGCCTGAAATTCACTCTCCGAACATACTACATTTCTAAGTTCCCACGTATTAATTAAAGCATTATGATAATTATAAACTCCCTTTCGAGAAGTAAATAGTGAACTCTTGTGAAATCCAGATTTGTTATGATACTGGTCATAACGATAGATAGATAGATAAAGAAATAACCCCTCAGGTTACAAATAGTGTCAGATCGCGGGATTTCTTGAAAATTTCGGAAATAAGAAATGTTGTTGTGTCAGACTTGTGGGTTTTGCATATCCACATTTAATTCACGGAAATTTTTGTGCGAATTTTTTTTTTCTGATAACTCACGAGAAGCGATAATAAGCGTGCACTGTAGAGATAGGGAATTGCATTGAAAGATGTTAAAAAAAATCAGGAAATATAAATAAGTAATTTTCCGATGGGAATAGGAATGGGCTGTTCATGTGGAAATAGTGAGAAGGAAGAACTCCGACGAAAGTCGTAAATAAGGGTTTATAACCTGAGGATAACAATGTTATACTCCTATAGAAAAATATAACTACAGGTTCAGATAAAATAACGTATGATAAAGAAATATCATCGAAAACGATAGAGATTCCACCACGATGCCTGAAAATTTTGTACTTTAGAAAAGTTCTCCTTATTGACTAATAACAATATTCTCGACTAAAAATTATGAAATTTTAATCTAGTATACAATTTTGTTCTATTCACATTTATTAATACCATTTGCAAGGAGGACGTTTGAAACAGCAATAAAATGCAGAAATGATTAAGATCTTATCTATCGTGGCTATTTTTGCATGTAAAAGTGATGTTAGAACAACATTCGCTGTTTTTATTGTCATTTTCTTTACATACAAAACAAATACATACCCAACAAGCGTCACTTTCATTAGATCCAGCACAGATTTGGGTTTGAACAATGGTCTTGCTTCCTATTGTTCTACTGAAGTAAGATATATTACATTTATGGAGTGGATATGGAACTAACGTTGCTTTCTGGAGTATATTACTTCTATCATCCTCAATAGCTGTATAAAAAAAATAAAATAAATGTACCTATTTGTCGTTTCAAATTACAGTGAATATTATATCTCTTATTAATTAAGTACCTTGAACAAAAGTCGCACCGACGTTGCTATTATACCGATTATTTCAGAACCTACTTCGATTTAAATTTTGGAAATTGGTGCACTAGTGTGCTCTTTTCAAATCTAATAATTTTGTTCCTGTAAAGCTTCCGGTTATATCGGAATTTGACGTCAACTTTGTTATTTTAAATGGAACACTGTATATTTTTATATTTTTGGACTCTACGCTTCATTTGAACGTGACTTTCATTAAGTTTTCCTTTTCCTAAAATTGTCTGTTTTCGTGATATTTAGCTTTTTAGAAAAAAAAAATAAAAATCAGCACCTTACCTAGGTGCTTTAAAGCCATGTGCATTCTATAGTTAGACAGATAAAGCAACAATATTTGGAGGAGCAGGAGCTAAATACCTAAGCTATAATCTTATACACGTTGGTGATAATTCAATATCGAGTTTGGTCCACTGGAAACCATCTAAACCTGATTTTTTTTTGTAATAGAACACCCCGTATATTTTTTCAAATTTGGATGTGCTGTTTCATTCACTTTCCATCCATACTTCCCTATACTTATATCTTCTAGTTTTTATGTTATTTGCAGTTATTTCGGTACTCTACTGAAATAGATTAGTATTATTATTACGTATTCATACTTAGCTACGAGGCTAGCTGTGAAAATTTTAGTGCGACATCAAAACAAATGGCAAAGCTGTCAACCATTATTCGTCATCAAGAAATTGTTGTTGTACCAGTTTAAAACAAAATGAATAGAAATAATTACACACATGAAGTTACTATGAATTTATTTGTTATTTATGGGCAATGTGATAGGAACATTAACAAAACATGTAGAATAGTGAAAGAATGAAACCTACCCAAACTTACAACCTATGTTGGTGTAGAGTTGACTAGGCTTTTGGATGACAAGTGGTTCGGACGTTTTGTTCCATGGGATTGGCCTTCTACATCCCCTGACTTGACTCCCTGCGATTTTTATTTATGGCCCACTGTCAAACCAATCCTGTACCGAACACCGGACAGCAGCAGAGAAGAAATAGAGAGGCGAGTGATTAGAACTTGGATCCTGCGGAAATAATACAACTCAGGAGTTCGTTCCCGCCTCTTCAAATGTTTAGAAGTTAACGGTCAACATTTTGAACAGTTGTAGATATTTAGAACTGTATTAAATTTAATTTTTTTTATCTTTGTAAAGATCTTTCTAAAATTTTTGTTATGCATAAGTTGTAAGTTTGGGTGGGTGTCAGAGTTCCGAGTGAGCAGCCGACCTGTGCGGACGTATTTGTGCAGTGAAGTAGCGACGAGTGAACGTGAAGTGGAAGACCCACACACCAGCCCGGTTAAAACGGGTAAGTCCCTTTATATTTTCTTAAGTGAACTTTATTTTATTGTGTACCATTTATTTTCACCATTATTGTGACTAAGACAAACGACATAACTGACAAAAAACACAAAACATCACGTACGCCCTCGTAAGGGGAACCCCTAACGCGATAAATACATACACACAAACACACACACGCCCAAACACACACACCAAGACTAACATGACGGACTCTGACCACGACATTGACGACGACGCGACCAGTGAGAGGTCCTCTTCAAGGGCCTCCACCACCTCCTCAGACTCACCAAACACCACGACAAAAGCTGACTTATATGACAAATTGCAGAAACAAAAACACGACAATAAGACACTGAGACGGCAAATACGCAAATTGACAGAACAAAACGACAGACAACGCCTACAAATACAGACATTGACAAAACAAATTGCCGACATGCAAATAACGCTAAAACAATCTGATGAAAACACACTACGACTACACGACAAATTAGATAAACTACTAAACAAACAAACACCCGACAATGCACAAAATGCACGCAATACACACACATCCACACCCACCCCCTCACGTACAGACAAGCGCAAAAAGGACTTGACAGAGTCCTCGAGCGAGGACAAAGCCCCCCAACACAAAAAACCAGACCAAAAAACACTAAACACTACACACACAAACACACGGCCACACACCCCCCAACCATCCACCAGTACCCAACAAAAAACACAGAAACAGACCACAAACACGAAACAAAACACAGCAAATACACCAAAACAGACCACTAGCACACAACAAAAAATCCCCAAAGTAATCTTGCGTAAGCCAGAGCGCTGGACACAAATCAGTCAACTATTAAACACAAAAAAAATCGACTACACTAAAGCCAAGCTCACGGAAGACGGGGTAGCCATCTACCCCGCCACACCCACAGACCACAGACAACTCACAAAAACACTCGTGGATAGAGGCGAGGAGTTCCACACCTTCACCCTCAGCGAAGATAAAACGCTGAGGGTGGTGATACGTGGAATACCCGCGGGCGTTCCACCAAGTGAGGTCCAACTCGACCTCGCACGACAAGGGTTCCAGCGGCGCAATAGTGCACCGCATGGCGAGCAGGCAAAATAAACAAGAAATGCCCCTGGTCCTAGTTCAGGCCCCACCGGACCAGGAGGACATCTTGAAGATAACCCGGTGCTGCTCGCTTGTAGTTCGAGTAGAGCTGCAGCGAAAGCAGCGGGTTGCCACACAGTGCCACCGCTGCCAGAGATTCGGCCACGGCCAGTCTCGCTGCACAGCGGAGCCAAAGTGCGTAAAATGCGGCGAAAGCCACAGCACGCACGATTGCCAAAAAACTAAAGACACGCCTGCCAGGTGTGCAAATTGCGCCGGGCCACACCCTGCAAGCTATATGGAGTGCCCTCAGTACCCCAAAGCTAAAAACACAAAAACGCCAAACACAAACGCACACACGACGCAAAACACTACGCAAACACACAGACAGTCCCTCCAACCCCCCTTAACACATCCCCTGGACTTACATACGCTGACATGACTAGAAAAACACAAAACACACAAAAACACAACACTTCACCACACGCACACGCAGACACGACACCACCCCAACCGGGCGCGGCGGCCCTGATTGACGCAACAAAGCGTCTTCAGGACTTCTGCGTCCAGCTGACGACCATGGTGTTTTATATGCAAAAATTATTCGACTTCTAATGGCTCTTCGGCCTTCCCAACCCTCCTCGCTGAGAATTTCGTCCTGGAACCTTGACGGGTTCCGGGCCAAAAAAATGGAACTCGTGGACATCTTGAACCGTCTAAACATAGACGTTATGGCTGTCCAGGAGACCTACCTCAGCGAGGCATCCCGTACCTCCATCCCTGACTATGACATATACAGACATGACAGAAACCGTAACGGGGGTGGTGTTGCACTCATAGTAAAGAAGTGCATCGACCACTATCCGCTGCAGCGGCTCCAAACTCAAAACACAGAGGCCGTGGCGATAGCGGTGAGATCGCTACGGCATGGAGACGTTGCGGTGGTGTCCTGTTACCACCCACCCAGACTACCACTACTTGACAATGACTTAGACAAAATCCTTTCCTGGCCCCAGACAATTGCCATCGGGGACTTCAACGCGAAGTCCCCCATATGGCACAGCGGGACGACGACCACAAGAGGTCGCGTCCTGCTGAATTACCAAGACAGACACGACGACTTGACTATACTCGGACCGACAGAACCGACACATTACGGACCCGTAGGACGCCCCGACGTTATCGACATTGCCCTCTTAAAATCTATACCGTTAAATGCCCAAATATCCACCCAATACGAAGGGTCTTCCGCCCACAATCCAATATTTCTGGATCTGGGGCGAAGACAGAGATATGAAGGCACCTTCACGAGGAGGTTCACTGACTGGGAGCGTTTCCGAACAGTAATGCAAGGAAACATGGCGCTCCCAGTCATCGAAACCACCCATGATCTGGAGGCGGCAATCCTCTCCCTTGAGACTGACATTAAAAACGCCCTGACTCAGACTACGACGGAGACTATTGTCCCCCGACTGACAAACCCCCGGGGCACCCTCCCCGATGACATAAAAAACTTAATACGTGACAGACGACGTGCG